TCTTCGAGAAGTACTCCCTGGGTTTCGATGAACTAACCCAGAGTGTCACTAATCGTGATTATGATACCACACCACCAGTATCAGACCCGAATGAGAGAACTACTTCATACGCTATGATCTCAAGAAGTGCGGTTATAATTGATCCTATGAACGCAAGCCGTAGGGATAGAACTTAGCAACATGAATACGCATACTTCAGCATACGATGCAATTCATGTGTCATTTTCTTATAGGGGATCGGAGAAACTAACAGGCGTTGCCCATGACGACACCATTGTATCTTCATCATGCTATTCAGCCTACTTCAGCATAGTCTTAGACTAGATTCAGTAGCGCTGCTACAGCAGGGACCTTAAATCAACAAGGATGCAATTGTGTGCACACAAGTAGACGGCTATGTCATAATTATGGTAGATACCTCTCCAATACTTCATCACATCCTCTACTCACCTCCACGGCTATTCTCGAGGTAATAGCGTTGTCAGCGAGAGAGGGATCTCGATCATCCAAATATGACAGCCACTTCTAGTCAAACAACAAGTCGGCCGCCAAGCACCACGCTCAGAGCTCACCTCCGCCCTGTCCTCCGTCTTCATTTCCCGCTGAGCTTCTCCCTGCTTTCTCTCACACTGATTAGGTCGAGCTTTCTCGACCTAGTGTGACTGTACAACACATGCGGAACAGGGTGCACTCACTTCACTCGGCTCTTTCGGGGTATCCTCCTGAGACTTGTACTCATTCAACCGTTCAAGTTTTTCTTCCAACTCGCTAAGACGTTGCCGTAATTTCCCGTTCTGATATATCGTTATCAAACATCAACGAGCACTCATCATGAGCTCGATGCGCGGGACCAGACCTCTTGTTCGATTCTATCGACTTCCACCCTCCTTTCATCTCCAGCGATCGTTTCCAAGCGCTTAACTTCCGCCTCAAGAACCTATTGCTGTGAACAGACACTCGAGAAAACACATTTCCGTCCAACCTCATTTTGTCTCAGCAGATTGCCTTTCTCACTCTTCATCACAACTAACTCACGCTTGAGTCTATCGTACCTGTCAGTGTCCTCCACAAAGTCCCAAGCCATAGTTCGACACCCTTCCCGAACAGTCTCCTTCCTAGCAGCATCAACGGCCATGTTATCAATCATCGCCTGTGCCGCAGCCAACTGCACAGCGAGCTCCCCATTTTCCCTACACCTCCTAACACACGACCGAAGACCACTAAAAGACGCTGATAACCCCAAGAGTGGCAACAACACTTCTCGAGCTCTTCCGTCATAGTCCTCGCCTTCTCAGCGGCAAACGATGCCTAAAAGGATGAGCGCAGAATACTCACAACAGCCCGGCCGTAGCTGAGCCGATTCTCACTTGGGCGCGCAGGTCCATCAGCTGAATCTCCAGCTGCGTCTTCAAACCCCTCA